TATGTTAAAAAATAAATTTATTATTTGCATATTTATGAGGTTACAACCCTCTACGCACACATTGGCAATAGAATCGCCGTTAGCCAGTTAAATATATATATAAAATATGTATATATATATATGTATTATATGTGTGTGTAATTCCAAATAAACGTGTGGGAAAGAAACACAGAGTACTCTCAGCTAAGTAACGGTGAATTGGGTGCCTTGAGTTTAGTGTCTGTGCATTTATTGATACCAATAGGAATAGTGTGCTTTAAAGGAGACATATTATGCTCCTTTTTACAATATGTAATATAAGTCTCTGGTGTCCCCAAAATGTGTCTGTGAAATTTCAGCTCAAAATACACACATTTATTATATCATTTTGAAAATGCCTATTTTGAGTGGAAGCAGAAACAGGCTGTTTTTCGTGCCTGTCTCTTTAAATGCAAATGAGCTGCTGCTCCTCGCCCCCTTTTCCAGAAGAGAGCTGTGCCATTGGACCTGCTAAAAACATCTGTTTTGGTTCTGATTATCATGTTTATCGCGCTGAAATCATGCGTTTTAAACCATATGAGTTTGAACTTCTGATATACGTTTTTCTGAGAGCACACATCCGAAGCACACGGACAGAAAGTGGCTGTCACAGCATGTGAGTACTAAACTAATTTCTCATTCACACAAGTTTACGTTAAAAACACACGAGTTACAAAAAACAGTCGGTTATGTCTGTGAAGGTAAACAGCTGGGAAATAAATTGCATGTTTATTTTATAAGAAGACATCAGAGCACCAAACACCCACAGACGGTTGGTAAACCCAGAGAATTTTTCCTAAGGAAAAAAATACTTGTGTCAAATAGACCCCAGAACATCAGAGATGCTTTGACTAGAGCTGGAAATGAAAATAGACAGGCAATGGTTGCATCCTTCGAGTGCGCTGAAAATGGCAGAAATAATGTGTGGGACACAGATGGCTTCCAAACTAAAAACTGTACCTCTGTCCAATAATACAATAAAAGACTGAATCAACAGAATGGAAAATGATGTTGAGAACACGTTGGTTGAAAAGTTAAAGATGGAAGCAGTACTCATTGCATATGTGCAGTACATTGAAGATTCCGAAATAAAGCTGGACATACTTTTGTCTACTAATTTGTCTACAACAACATGAGAAGATATTTTCCATGCGATTGACACATACTTCACCAAGTATCACATTCCCTATAATAATTTAGTCGCATGCTGCACAGATGAAGCTGCTTCAATGATGGGAAAAAATAAGGGTTTCAATACATGTTTGAAGGAAAAGGCTCCCCACTGTCTTGTGTTTCACTGTATGATACACCATCAAGCCCTGGCCAGCAAACACCTCTCTGATGAACTTAATAAAAAACACTCAAGACGGTTGTAAAAATACAACAGTTGTTAACTGTATTAAAGCCTGTCCGGTAAGCAAGCGAATCTTTGTGGAGCTGTGTGAAGATGAGGTGCATCAGACACTCCTCTTTCATACCGAAGTGTGCTGGCTATCGAGAGGCCAGGTGTTAGTTCGTTTTATTGAACTGAAAGAAAAAATAAAGGAGTTCCTAAAACTGAACAACCAGAAACTGTGTGACGAAATGACAAATTAATTTCTTATCAGATCATCATACCTGGCTGATATTTTCAGCCTCTATAATGAAACAAACAACCGCATGCAGTGTGCGGATGCAATTGTGCTGGAATGCAAGGAAATTATTGACGCATTTGTGCATAAAGTGGACTTTAGGAAGAATAAACTGATAAAACGTGACTTTCCATCACTTCTCAAACAGACTGGGGGAAATTTACCTGAATCCTTGAGCAAAGAGTTCACACGTCACATGGAACTGCTACAGGAGGAGATGAAATCACGATTTTCGGATGTTGATGAACATGTCGCCAAATGCGCTTGGGTAATGGATCCATTCACCCTGCAAAGGAGGAGGACGTGGAGTATTTAGAAGCGGAGGACGAGCTCTTGGATGTCAAGTCTAATTCTTTTCTGAGAAGATTCTTTACCAAACATGGGTACAAACGATTCTGGCTGGTGAAAGGTTCCAACGTCGCACCTAAGCTTGCGCACCATGCTACAACCAGACTCATTCTGCCATTCGCCACAACATATCTGTCGGAGACTGATTTTAGCTCTCTGGTAACCATCAAAATGAAAGCACGCAACAAACTGGAAGTAAAAAAATGTCAATGTTAAAATAGGGGTCTCCTGGAAAAAAGGTTGGGAACCACTGTTGTAGATGGTTGGGTTTAAAGCGTTGACTGGACAATTATAGTTTTAACAGATGCCAGTTAATGCATTTAGTATTGCTGTTTGCCACTTTTAATTTGGGATGCACCAATCTGATACTCCGTATCGGTATCGGCTCCGATACTGCCATTTTCTGCTGGATCGGGTATCGGTCAGATGAGACCGATCCAAATTCGATACTGTGTGTATACAATTCTGTGTTATTGTTAAGCCCCACGAAAGGCTCTAAAACATTATAAAGTACCATAACGTTTTCGTGCACTATATATGGGCGAATTCCAAACGGAAGTGAGCATTCCTATGCCCTACTCCCTTCAAAGGGAAGAGCCCTTGAAGTGAGTTCTTTGAAGGGTTTAGGGCATTACTGTCCCATATAAGAGTTTTGAACTCCCTTGGTGAAGTGAATGACTGACCAAATGTTACCTTGACAATGCTGTGCATGCATGCAGCATTCAGCACTCCATCAGTTGTTGCAGATAAATTATTATTATTATTATTTTATTCAAATATTGTCTTATTTACTATTAAACTTTTTCAAACTAAACTTGCTTGCACTACCATCTTAAATCATATTTCTGTCCCTGACAAAAAATATTTTGTATTACATTAAAATAAAGACAAATACAAATTAAATTAGCCTATTCTACTTATGTTTGTATGTGAAGTCGAAATCAACCCCAACTTTGCTTTAAAAAGCATCGCAAGATCTTCTAACTGAAGATAACATGATCACAAATGGAAATCACTTCGGTGAAGTGGCCATCGTATGTTCCCTTCGCTAACGGACTTCTGGAAGGCCCCTTCGTGAAGGGATTCAGTTGTTCACTTTCATTTGGAACGTCCCTACAAATGGCGTCCCCTTCCTGAAGTGCCCTTCAAGGGCGCAAAAAAGCAGTTTGGAATTCACCCTACATTCCAAGAGTTCTGAAGCCGTTCCATAGTTTAATGTGAGGTACAGATGAATATTTAAGTCGTTAAATTCAAGTTTACGTAAACTCTTCTCTCCGCTGCGGCTGTCAGTCATTCTCCATTCAGCATTCAAACTGCATGTCACATTCGGTTATGACAGTCAAGACAATGAAACTCTCTCCAAGATGATTCAATGTTCCTATTATTATACTTGATCTGTAGATGAAGATAAATGTTTTTTGCATAAAAGGACTTTATCTTGCTGGAGTTTAGTGCTGCCTCTAAATCATGTTACTTTCTACCAGATGTCTGTTAGATCCAACCTGATCTAACGGCAGTTGTTGGTTGTAAGATTCTTGAACTGCATTGTTTCACACTATGGGCCCTATTTTAACGATCTAAGTGCATGGTCTAAAGCGCACAGCGCAATTGCGCTTGGGGCATGTCCGAATCCACTTTTGCTAGTTTAACGACGGGAAAGGAAAACAGTCGGCACGCCCGGCACATGGTCTAAAAGGGTTGTCCCTATTCTCTTAATTAATGAGTAATGGGTGTGTTTTGGGCGTAACATGCCATAAACCAATCAGAGTCTCATCTCCTATTCCCTTTAAAAGCCTGTTGCGCTCGCGCCATGGCGGGTTTGCTATTAATATGGCGGAATTAAATTTTAAATTTTTAAAAATGTTTGTGTGCTGCTGTGCGTCCCTGTGTGTGTGTAATAAGCAAAGTGTATGTGAGTTGTGCACCCGTCTATAGGCACATATTACTAACGCGCTCTTTGAATAACAAAGAAAAAATATTGCACTAGACTTTAAACCAGGTGTTTGTTGTTCTGGTGAAAATGACAGACTTCATGGTAATGTCTCCAGGTCTTCTCCAATCATTTAGTCCAGCCTGCACGCTTGCATTCATCTGCCTCCAATTTTGAGTGCAAGCCCACATCTCAAAATCCAATGAACAACCAATGCACAGAACCAAGTCCTCGCCCTACTTTTTTTCTTTTTCAATAATCTGTTTCTCTTAGATGTGCATCACAATATGGAGAAGATCTGTCACTACTTCCATTTCTATGCTACTTTTGGACATTCAGTGTAGCGTGAAATGCCTTGAAATCCAGTGAGCAGTCATTTGGTTGACAGTTAAACATCTACAGCCGTGTTTCCTAATTAGCAAATATCCACCTCTGACCTCTCGGTCACTGTGAGACCAACCTAAAGGCCTGGATACTAAGCAGATCCATTTAGCTATTTTAGAATCAAGTGGAGGTTTGGTAGACGGGCTGGTATTTCCTGCTATTGTCTGAAAGACGTGTCAGTGTGGGCAGCTGCTGTGTGGACACATGGAATGGACTCATGAAGGACAGTGGCACACAAGGTTTCCTCTTATTTTGAGTAGTTTATAGCAACTGGCCTTTCCTTGCCTACTAAGGTCTTTCAGTTTTTCTTCAGTTTGAGCTGTTAAATGTATTTTTATTTCACATTTAATGGATTATGTGAGTGGCGTGCAACAGTTTACAGTGTGTGGGTACTGCTGGCACTCACGGTTTCTTTCTTTATTTGTTTATATGCCTAAGACCAGGCAGCAGAGCATTAATTAGATGTGGAATGTGGGAATTTCATCAACCAATTCCTCCTGTCACGAGGTGGCAACCCACACATACATAAAATGAATAGGGAGTTTTGTTTTCCATTGTGATGTCAAGTTGTTGGTGACTTGTTTAAATTACTTGTCCAAAGCATTGTGGTATTACTGATCTTTTTCTTTAACAGTTGCTAGTTGTCATGCATTGTATCATACATCTTCAATTAATTTGTGTCTCTGCAGGAACAAAGGACTGCGGTAAAAGTGGGAACTGTACCATGTTTAAGGGAGTGCTGAAGAAAGGGCGAGAGGGAGGAGGAAGAACTGGCAAAAGAGATGCAGGTAAGCTTCTTTATGCCCAGAAGGAAGGAAAATGATATTAATAAACTACTGCGGAAACCTAATGAACTGTACTTTGCTGTTGTGTGTATGCTTAATTTAATTGCATAATTGGCATATGGCCTCCAAAGAGATTTACAGAGCTGTGGCTGGGATTGGCCAAATGAGATTTAGTTTTTTTTTTTTCTTATTCCAGCTCAAGCTGTGGCTTGTCATTGAAAATTATCTGAAATGATAATTTCACAATCATAATAACAAATGTTAGGATCTCACAGCTTTCATAGAATAATAGTCACTCAAAAATAAAAGTTGACATTTACTCAAACTCGTGTTGTTCCAACCCCATATAATATATTTTTTTCTCTATGGAACACAAAAGAAGGAATTTTAATAATGAATGGAGATTGGAGCTCTCAAAAAGCATGCAAAATCATCATAAAAATATCATACATGTAGTCCATATGACTAGTATTCTATGTCTTCAAAAGCCATACAGTGGCATACGGGAAACCCCGCACCCCCGTGAAGTGTGGGGGCCCCGTCCGTTTAGTGGGTCCTGTCGCAGGACATTCTAAAAGGCATTCACAAATCACACAGAATGTGTTTTTGCTTTGAAAAACCGAAGACACGGCAGTGAAATTTGGAAAAAATGCAAGGTCTCTTTTTTAAAAAAACTTTTAAACTTCTTTTGACTTGATCGCCGCATTTTTAGAATGTCGTGTCATGCTTGAGACACTGCACAAGACTCGACAGCAAAGATAGTGCAGTGGAGTGGAAAAGTTAATGGAAAATCTCTTAATGTCGCTTAATATTCTGAAACAACAACCAGGGAAAATTTATTTTCTCTCAAATTAGAATGCTGTTTTTGTAACATGGGAAATATGATTTTCCCATGTTAGGGAAAGTTGCTATCTAATATAACACCCAGATTTTTGACTGTAGAGGAAGTAACAGTACATCCGTCTAGTTGCAAATTGTAATCCAAGAGATTCTGTGTACTGTCTTTTGGTCCAATAAGTAATATCTCGGTCTTATCCGAATTTAATAGGAGAAAATTATTGGTCATCCAATCTTTTACATTTTTAACACACTCTGTTAGCTTAGATAATTTAGAAGTTTCATCTGGTCTTGTTGAGATATATAATTGAGTATCATCAGCATAACAGTGGAAACTAATCCCGTGTTTTCTAATAATATTACCAAGGGGCAACATGTTAATCGAAAATAGCAGAGGACCTAGGACAGATCCTTGTGGCACTTCATATTTTACTGGTGATAATTGAGATGACTCCCCATTTAAATGAACAAAATGGTAGCGATCGGACAGGTAGGATCTAAACCATCTTAAAGCCTGCCCTTGAATACCTGTATAGTTTTGTAATCGATCTATGAGTATGTCATGATCTATAGTGTCGAACGCAGCACTAAGATCAAGTAAAACTAGCAATGAGATGCAGCCTTGGTCTGACGCAAGAAGCAAGTCATTTGTAATTTTAACAAGTGCAGTTTCTGTGCTATGGTGGTGCAAGACATTCTGTGCTATGAAATTCTTCATAGAGAATTTTTTTGCAGGAAGGAGCACAATTGAGCAGACAACTTTTTCTAAAATTTTAGACATAAAAGGAAGATTTGAAATGGTCTGTAATTTGCCAGTTCACTAGGATCTAGTTGTGGTTTCTTAATAAGAGGCTTAATAACCGCCAGCTTGAATGGTTTTGGGATGTGACTTAAAGACAACGACGAGTTAATAATATTGAGAAGCAGTTCTGCTACAGGTAACAACTCTTTCAGTAATTTAGTGGGTACAGGATCTAACAGGCATGTTGTTGGTTTAGATGTAGTGATAAGTTTATTTAGCTCTTCCTGTCCTATAGTTGTAAAGCACTGCAGTTTATCTTTTGGTGCGATGAATGAAGCTAAAGTATTATACGCTGTAGAATCTACATTTGTTATTGTATTTCTGATGTTATCTATTTTATCAGTGAAGAAATTCATAAAGTTATTACTATTAAACTGTGAGGGAATATTTAGATCGGGTGGCGTCTGGTTATTTGTTAATCTAGCCACTGTGCTAAATAAAAACCTTGGATTGTTTTGGTTATTTTCTATGAGTTTGTGGATATGCTCGTCCCTGGCAGCTTTTAGAGCCTGTGTTTTACACCATGACAATAACCATTCATGTAAAGCAAAAAGTCTACTGAACCTTTCGTGTCCTCGTCGATACGTGGGAAGCGGTCCTGACACGATGAAGTGTCTCCATCTGCCGCAGCTTGGTGTCGTTAACCCCTGCGTGAAGCACGACCTCTCCAGTGCTCACATCGCCCTTCAGGATCGCAGGTATCTGCGCAGAAACATAGAGAACACGAGCACCAGGGAAACAGTGAGTGTGCACTTTACCTTCAGCTAACGTAGCACGGACGTGCCGGATGATGGAGTCTCCGATGATCACAGCTAACGGGTTATATGCTAATAGCGTACTCGGGAAATCAATATAGAACTAGTTTATAACAAGGCGCTCTTATTGTTTTTGTTGTAGAATACGATGGGGGATATATTCACACGTTATAGAAACGAAAATGATGGTGTATAAAATTGATTTTAAGATTAAAAAATAGACAAAGAATTCACTTAACGGAGCTTTTACTTGTCATAAACGCTATACTTCTAAGACAACAGCACCGCAATCGAAATGGATATTTTTACGCTTAACATGGCTTATGCATTAAGACAGGGATATTAAAAGATCAAACTCTGCAGAAGAGCCCAGAATATGAATGCAATGCACAAAGTTTTACATTAAGCGTTTACCAGTGGTAACATGCAATTGTTATGCTCTACCTGTTCTTATTCAATTCGGTTGGTGTAACCTAATATATTTCTAATGTTAAATAACATTTTTAAATAAAATTTATTAATTTAGATGTTACCACATGAAGCACATTTTTAGAGTTTCATTACGCTTAATGTGGCTTAATGCATTAACACATTAAAAGACCAAATTAACCTTGATGATGCAAATATGTTTTTGTGCCCTGGTCAACTGCTGTGCTTCTGTGATAACCACCTATTTCAAATGGCAAACACTAGCGGTTCAGTACACTGACGACTTGTCACCAAACTTTGCCATGCAATTTCTATCTTTCGTTCTCGAAAATTGAAAGGGATCAAGACATTTCTCCGGAGCACAATGTGACCAGAAAGACTGTCCAGTATAGCTCTTCTGAGTATTGAGAATGCCCGTGCTCTAGGGTTGTGATGATGAGGAAATTTTCCCACCGGTTAATTGACGTGTGACAACATGTGGTAATACCGGTATCACCGCGGGGGCGTTCCCTCTTTTCCTCGCTTTCCTTCGCTTTTAAATAGCTTGTAAAAGCAGCGTGCGCATTTTACTTTCCCTTTCAAATAGCGGCAATTTGGAGTAAAGGAATTGTTAGTTTTTATTTCGTTTGAATTTTCCCTCTTTTCCTTGCTTTTAAATAGCTTAAAACCGCTGTGCGCATTAGCGGCAATTTGGCATCAATTGCTTGAATGCAACAACAAAATACCACGTCAAACTCACTTTAGCGTATATATAAAACATAGAACTTTTATTAACAAAACAAATAAAAACACACCATGCTATAGGGCAGGCTATGCCTAATATAAAACTACAAATAACTTGCATAAAGTTTAAATAGGTATACAAAACTGGAAATAAGTAAACATGTATAATATATAACCAAATAAATAAGAAAGTAGAACGTTTATTAGCAAAACGAGTAAGAAAGCTTGAAGGCATGGCATACACCTTGATGTCAAATAAAATAAATATATGTTTAAATAAAGTAAAAATCAGCAAACAATTTGGAACCAATTAAATAAGAAACAAATGTTTAAAAAAACTTCCAAAATCAGATAAATTGCAAAGGTCAACAGGCTTTTCAAAATCCAAAATATTGCCAAAAAGGCGCTTTTGCATTTCGTTTCGAAACTAAATCATCTGTGATCGTCTTGTCTGTCTCACCCCACTCTTCTTGTCAGTCAGCTCGACTCACTGTCATTCAGCATGCTGAATTCCGTTCAATTCCGCGTATAGTTTTTAATTGTAGTGTCTGTTCTTTCACCGAACTAAATTATTTTTATTACTATAAAAAAATCAAAACTACGGTGGGGGTCGGTGACGCGGTGGGCAAGTGGCGTAACCCGTGTTGCGTCTTAACACCGCTATCACCGTCTATCGCGGCAAGCCTACCGTGCCCACAACATCGACGTTAAAGTTGCAGTGAAAGACTTTGTGCAGTAAAACGCTCTGAGAGTGCAAAAGATTGGGTAGAGTTTTTGCTTGTTTGTTTGTGGTTGTCAGTTGATAAAAAGAATATATAAGTTAGTCGTCAAAAGCTGGTATGTTAAGATGTATAGAAAGTTCATTTTTCTCAAAATTAAGCATAGGCTATATCATAAAGTATAGAATCATTCCTTTAATGTATGTTTTTCTCCTAGTTTTTACTGTTCATTTTCTTACTGCAAGACATGAATTTTGCTTGTATAATTTCTTTTCCACAATTAGCGATGCTTTTGTAGGCCAGTGTTTGAACTGAGACGTGTTCTGGCCATTAGCCTTCATGAATTTTATTGAACTTACTGTTAAATAAAATATGTTGACCGGGGCCTATAACAGATGTATTGTGTATTGTGTTGAAGGATCCTCCTGCTATTGCTAAAATAACAATCAGATCGGAGCAGCAGCACTTTTGACTAAATATTTATTCCTGCAGGGATTTCAGTCCGACTAATCACTACGCACATTATATAGCCTATATAATGTTATTCAATATAACATCAAATGCATCAATGCAATGATAATTCAACACATTCATTACTGTTAAATCTGTTATGTAAATGGGGAGACTGACTCAGTAGTGTGTTGCAGCAGGTGCAAAATACATTTTCATACATGACATCACTTCTGGTGGGAGGGGCATCTCGTTCTTTGCGGGGGGCCTCGCAGATGTGCTGTATAC